AGAATGATCCAGGCTCATCTCATAAGAAAGGAAGGAGTGGACAAGGCAAAGCGTATTCTAACAAGAAGCATGTCCACACCTGTGTTCAGGGCCCACCCAGTGCTGCTCCCCAGAGAACACAGAGTAGAGAAAATGCCATAAAGTGCCTGCTCTGGATCCCAAGAGGGTAGATATTTGTGGAGCCACCAGATCCCTGTGCACTGGGGATGGGGACTCCACAGACCAGCCTTCACTGCTGTTACACGCTTCTGTTACTATCAGAGGGGGGCCCTAGAAGGCAAAGACCTGAGTTTCCATCTTGCTCTGTCACCACTCACCATGGGCCCTTAAGTCACCCCTCTCCCCACCCCTGCCCCCTCTGAGCCTCAGGGACCCATCAGTCCAGTGAGATCTTACTTTCAAAGTAAAATGCATGTACCCCTGGGGTACCACAGAATTATCCACTGGCCTGTGGGAAGAATTTTAGCATTCAAGACTTATGTATTTCCATCTAAAAGTAAGAAAGGAATTCAGCTGTAATAGTATTTAACACACAGATACTATGTACCCCTTCTCAGCTAATCATGTCCCCCAAATGAGTCACCTTCTGGAGGGAGGTGCAGGTGCCCCCTCAAGGACAATTTAAGAGTGGCATGCTTATTCTGTTGCTCACTTTGCAACAGATTGTGACATACCGCTGCTTACGTATGCCCAGTTCAGTGGAATTTGCAGATTGTCATGTCTGATTCAAACCAAATTAACCCTCCTGAAAAAAAGACGAGTGGCCTAAAAAGATTTCTGCAAAGAAACAGCAAGAAAAGAGCAGTGTTTCCCCCCCTTATCCTAGGACATGATTTCATATGACATTTCATAAAGAAAAAAACAAGGGTTGTCTGCTGAATGCTACGGTTGAGAGTTTCAAAAAATGAAACTTCTTTCATCAGGATAAAGGTGAACTTTAAACAGTTGTTGAGAAAGTAACTTTTTTGGAAGGAAAATAATATAGAGAGCATTTAGAAATAAAATTTGAAAGTGTTCCCACTGTTACAAGATTTTGTTGCTGAAAGCCTTGTATGTTCCACAATCTTTCATATCAACCCTTAAAAAAAAGGAGTTTTTTTACTTGCTTAAAAATCTTCCAAATGAAGAATTTGAGTGGGTTTAAAATCCATTTGCTGAAAGTATTAAAATGCAACATATTCCAATTTCTTTGCAAGAACAACTGATTGACATAAGAGAAAATGGAAATTTGAAAGTCAATTCTGAACAAAATTTTTGCATAATTGGTGGATGGCACTGAAGATTCAAAAATGAATGCCATGACTTAATGAGCTGAGCCCACAAGGCACCTCATTCGTCTGGATCTAGGTGTCTCCATGAGGCCTCCTTCTCAGCTGTGACAGCCTTGAAACCTGAATATAAGTAAACCGAATTTAGTACCAGACATTCAAGTCACTGTTCTACAAAGTGTTAAACCAGGCTTTTCAAAAATAAAGAAGCATATTCAAAGGCGTTGCTCTCACTGTGAGAGCAAACAAGGAATTTTATACCATGATTCAATGAAAGGCCCTAAAAATTACTTTAAAACATGGTTTTTATTTATTTTTTTATTCCTATTTATGAAGTTATACAATGTATATGATATCATAATATACATGTATCAAATTTGTACATATATGGATAATGTACATGCTGCATTTTGTAATGCACGTGTATTTATGTAATGTATATACTAACATCTATTAGTGTATATAGTTTGTGTATATAAAGTTCTATGTATATAATTTATAAATGTAATAGGTACCAGGGTGTCTGCTCAACATTTTTTACTGATAAGACGTATGAACAATGAGGTTTGAGTTCAACTATGTCTGCAGTGCCAGGGACCCCTCCTCCAGCTCTGGCATGAGAGACTGCATGGGCGCCCTCTCTTCTGGGTAGGGATATTCATAACAAAGATGTGCCTGGATTGGGCCTCACCTGGCCTGCAGGTGGAGTCTCAGGCATACATATTTTGTAGCTAAAGAGACAGAGGTGCAGAAGAGTAAGATCTGAGCCCACTCCCCCTACTGAGGGCATCTCCTTTATAAAGACCAGAACCCCCTCCCTTGCATAAAAAGGACCTCATTCTTCTCCTCCTCACCCCTCCCACTGTAACTGGGGAAGGAAAACAAAACTTTCCTACTGCTCAAAGGGAATCAAGAGGCCCTGAGAGGGTAACTATCTTTCCTGGAACATCACAGCAAATTGACAATGGAGACTAGGTGTAAATTCAGGCATTCAGAGTGCCAGGTCTAGCCTTTTACCGGCTTTGCTCTCTTGGACCTTGATGCAGAATCTGGTTTTTAGTTACCCAAATCCTCACTATCACCTCTGTGGGGAAGCAGAATTAATTTTAGTCTTGCTTGCTACAAATGAAGCCTAGGATGTTCAGGATATCAACTACCCAGGTCAGTTTTCTGCCCCTCCATAGCATAGAATGTCCCTCCCCATCATCTTTTCACATCTGTCTGAACCCAGAGAAGAGAGAGTTCCAGAGAAAAATAAGCCGTGCATCTCTGCTATGCTTTCAGGGGGCCCAGCACCTCCCTGAAGCAAAGATTTTTCTATAGCACAAATATGTTCATGTTATTACTTCCCTGGTCCTACTCTGCTTAAAAACATCCCCTTCATCTCCACTGCCCACAAGAGAAAAGCCAGGCTGCTTAGGCCAACCCACACACTCTTTCCCTACCCCACCCTCCCTGCCTGGTGTCACTCACTGGCAGGGAACCTATCTGGGGCTGCTGCCTTCTAGCATCCAAAGTCTAGCTTTGTGGGAGTTAAGACGTTCTTGCTGAAACCGTTTCCTGATCCTGAATCAGTTAGGTGATGGTTCTTGAGGTCAGATCCCCGGTATCTCCACAGCCGTGCTGACTAGCAGCAACAAAGCCAGGTTCCCCAGACCACGTGACTGACAAAACCTGTTGCCTAAGCAGGACTCCAGAGGCAAGAGAGTGTGAAAAATGCAGAAAAATGCATCTTCTGCCTTTTTGAAAATCAATTAACATACTCCATATCTTTCATAAGCTAAAGAAGAAAAATCACACAATCATATCCATAGATGCAGAAAGAATTCCGGTCCCACCCCTTGGGGAGACTGATCATGTCAGGGGGAAGGAGAGGAAGGAGAGGAGCAGAGAGAGGTTGGGAGAGAGGCAGGGTGGCATGGGAATGGGTAGGCAAGGTCTGTAAGGCAGCAGAGCCTAGAATCAGCATTCCTAGGACTGGCTTGAGGTGTAGGAAGTGGCCAAATGTAAACCAAAAAAGCAACATCTTCTAAGAAAGACTATGACCTCAGGCACAGGGTCATAAGACTGGGGACCTCCCGGGCCTGAAGAACCGCTACAAAGGATGTCCCCTGTGCCAGCCCACAGGGAGGTAATCAGGGTTAACGCCAGAACCACCATAGTCCTGGCCCAACGCAACCACCTCCCTGTGACCTGCCCCTTCCCCTGCAGATACTCAGCAGCTGCCCCTCTGCACTCCCTCACCCACTCCCCACCCCAGTCCCTCCATCGTGAGCCAGAGCCGCATGGGTAGGGCCACTGTGTACAGTGCACCCTGGCTTGTAGCTTGCAGCTTGCAACCACCCCACTTTCTTCATTCAAAGACACAACTGCTCACTAAGCTATGTGTCCACTGGGCTGCACAGATATCCAGAGATAACTTTCAACACGGCCATCAGGAGAGAGCACCTTTTTATAACTTTGCACAGCTTTGCTCCCTGGCCTCTCGTGACCCTGGTTCATCAAGCCTCCACAAAGCCACAGGGCAGCAAAAAGTTTAAGGCCGGGGCACCAGGATGGCTCAGTTGGCTAAGTGTCCGACTCTTAGTTTCAGCTCAGATCAAGTCCTCTATTGGGTTCTGACTCAGGGGGAGTCTGCTTGGGATTCTTTCCCTCTTCCTCTCCCCCCTCTCTACCTCTCTCTCACTTTCCTCGCTCACATGCTCATCTGCATGGCTCTCTCTCAAATAAATAAATAAATAAATTTTCTTTAAAAAAAAAAAAACACACACACACAACTTTAAGGCCCAAAGCCTTTCCATTGAGTATAATGGGAGCACTGAGCAGCCTACCCATCCATCCCTGAGATTAGCCAATGCTGGGATCACCACAAGTCCCTGAGCTAGAGATTTTGCCAGCTCCTTCACTTCAGACCAACCTGCCCGGACCTGGCTCAGCTCTGCCACCAGTGCCCTCCCCCACTGTGACTGGATGCCCCCTCACAACACCCTGGGACCCCAGCACAGAACAATGACAGAGTTGGGGCCAGGATGAGGGGACACTTAGACTTCTGATCTTTCTGCCATCGCCCCTGCACGGAACTTCCACCCTGGGGCTCAGACCAGATCATGCAAAAGGAAAGCCCATGGATGAATGAACGAAGTGAAGTAAGGCTACAAGCCCCTTCTGAAAGTCCTCCAGACACTCAGAGCCTCCTCCCCTTGATCAGAAGTCCCATTCCCAGACTGAGAAGGAAAAGAAAATGTAAGATCTCCGTCCAGTCTTAGTTCCAGGGGGCCCCTACCCTGTGCCTGCCACAGTGTATCCTACCTCAGACAGTATAAGAAAAGGGGTGTGAGGAGGGTCTCCTGCCCACTAGCATCCTGCTTTCCTAGGCCAAGGCCTTTACTTTCTGCTAGCTCTGCCAAACCATGGTCCCTTCCCTGGCAAGTACATGGTAGGAGGAATGCCCACAGCACTCCTTAGCCCCAACAAGACCCTGGCCCTAAGGCAGAACTTGTCCCTAACAAGCAGGGCTCCACAGACCACATGGTACATGGACCCCTCTCCCCCCTCTGCAAGAGGCAGTTAGGACGGGGAGCAGGGCAGGCAAGCAAGGAGCCTGGGAAACACACATGCGCGCGCACACACACACACAGCTCCAGCAAACGCCAGGCCAGGGCCTGTGCCAGCCCCACCTGAGCTCATCACGACACAGGAGGGGTGGGGCCTGCAGGCTATCAGCCACGTGTAGGGCCTGGAGGAGAAGAGGGAGGGAGGCAGGGAGGAAGGACTGCCTGCTCTTAAGGCGGGTCTGGAGGTGAACCACACCTCCGCTTAGTCCTCACCTGGACTTTGAGAAGTCTTGGTCTCAGGAGCCAGGAGTGAACACAGCGGTCTGCCTGCCCTGGTTACCAGGTACGTGCCTTTATTCTCTAAAGAGAAGAGAGGGAGATTTAGCACCTTTGCCAGCCTGACTCATTGAAACTTTTGTCCTCAGCTTTTCCACCTGTTCTGGGGGCTGGAAGTAAAAGCAGAGAGAAATGAGAGAAGTAGTCTCAGGACAACAGACCCCAGAATTCAGCACTTTAAGAGAATGAAATCTGCACCCACTCTTCAGTATATAGATAAGAGAACCAAGGTCCCGGAGCGGGGAGGATGGGTGGAGAAGGCTCTTGCCCGAGGTCACAGACTTGGGAAGGGCCTGAGGTCACAGACTTGGGAAGGGAATGGACACAGAACCCAGGCCTCCTGCCTCCCAGCCCAGAGCACAAGGCCTGGCCCTGAGCCCCGGTGCTGGGCTCTTCAGAGGCTGCCAGGAGTCCAGGGGTGGGGGCCATGGCCAGGTTCTGCTTCACTGGATCTGGGTGGAGGGGATGTAATAACCAGAAGCCACTCTTCAAAGATGGGGCTGGAGTGTGAGGGTGGGCTATTGAGGCAAAATGTGTTTTTTTTTTAATTGCAAGGACTGATAAGCCTTTATTGTTTGGTTTGTTATTTTGCTTGGCATTTATACTATGATTTGAACAAAGGCCCAGTAGTTAGAAAACCTTGTTCTTCCATGAATAACAGAAGGTATTCAGTGTCCATTATATTGATGTTAGCAATAATAGTAAAAATAACGTAAATGGCACACTGGAAAAGATGGAATAATAATGCCTCGCCAAGTTGGGGAAATAATTTAAGATCTCATGAAATAGGCATTCCATTTGTGGGGTTTTTTATTGTTTAATTTTTTAACATTTTTTTATTTAAATTCAATTTGCCAACATATAGTATAACAAAATGCTTTTGAGGAGGCTCGGGCTTCACCTTCTGTCACCTTCTCCCTTCACTGACCTGGGCTTATAGTGGGAGGGAGAGAGTAAGTCAATGAAGTGGGAGCGGGGATTTACTGAGGTTTCAGGATCCCCCTGCCTCCGGAGCCCTTGGAAACAAAGAAATATATATGAGGTCAACTCTAAAGGGGGAATATATGGAAGGGACCTATGAGTAGGGCAGTGCTGGCTGGAGCCCTCCCTACCCACTACACACCCCCAACATGTATACAAACACACACACACACACACACACACACCAGAGTCTGGAGCCCCAGAGCCCTCCCCTCCACCTTAGAGCCGGAAAAAAGGAGTGAGAGAAGTGGGCTGGTGAGGGTGTCCAGGAATAAAGGAGTGAGACCCAGCCCCTGCCCTGTGGGTTCTGGCGGTGAGTCAGGGAGAAGTGAGAAGAGTTTGAACAAGAGCCTGAAGGGATGCCCTGCCTTTTGCTCAACCCCAGGCCTGTCCCACTGGGCTCCAGAATCCCAGACGGGGCAGACATGAAAAGGGTCTTAAATCTATGAAGCAGTAACATAGGGTTAAGAGTTTGGGACTATGGAGCCAAGGCCACCCAGGCTCAAAGCCACTGGGTTCAAACCCCAGTGCCACCAGTGGGTGGGTTCTGCAGGCTCTATGACCTTAGTCAAATCCTTGAACCTCTCCAGATCCACAGTAAGAGAAGATGAAACAAGTAAACTTTAAGTTCTGTTACTATTATATCCCCATCATATAGATGGGACAACTGAGGGGAAAGGGTAGCACAAAAGCAATTTCTAAGCAGTAAGCAGACATCCTAGGTTTTGGTCCTGAGTGATGATCCAGGCCCCCGGTGTGTTCTGCAATGTTAGTAACCCCAGCCTCCTCTGTGGGGCCCAGCAAAAAACCCTGTAGGATGCACCGAGATCCTGCCCCAACAAATCCAGGCCACTTTGAGCATGTGAAGAAAGAGCCACAGCTCCATGTCTTCAGCTGCCCCCAGGAAGGAGCTCGGAGGCTTATTTCCTTCCACTGCCATTTATAGACACACTTCCCAGGCCTGAGATATACCGTCCCCTTCAGGCCCTGGCCAAGGAGAGGTCTGGCAACAGAGCCTACAGGAGCCATGGGGGACAAGGGAGCCTGGCTTTTTTCATTAACTTATTGTGCAACCTTGGGCAAATCATATGCCCTCTCTAGACGTCAGATATCCCTCTACATAAGGAGTTAAGAATCCAAGTCCCTCCCTGACCTCTGCACTGTGCCTACAAATTCTCCTCTGCTTTGCCTCTTCCTTAGTAACACTGTTTATAATTGCTCACCAGCTTGTCTGTTTCACTAACTGGTCACAAGTGGTAGCAACTAAATGCAGGGTTCCTGGCATCAGAGAGCCTGCGGTCCAGTCCTGCCCTGACACTTGTTGGCAGTATGATGCTTGGGCAAGTTACTGACCTCTCTGTCTCTCCATTCACACATCATAAAATGGAAAATAATAGTATCTACCTCATAGCATTATTAGAGGAGGAGCTTAAAAGGCTTTATGTATAATATATGTGCATAGTAATTACTCAATAAATATTAGCTGGTATTTATTTAATAAAGGCGGCTGTGAGGCACCTGGGTGGTACAGTCAGTTAAATGTCTGCCTTTAGCTCAGGTCACGATCCCAGGGTCCTGGGATGGAGTCCCACATCAGGCTCCCTGCTCAGCGAGGAGTCTGCTTCTGCTTCTCCCTCTGCCCCTTCCCCTGCCTATGCTCTCTCTCTCTCTCTCTCAAATAAATAAATAAATTTTTTTAAAAAGGCTGTGACATAGTAGATATTCAGTAACTTCGATTGAAATGGTTTTATTTGACAATCACCTGCATAATACTGATTACATGCCATGCACCTGTTCTAAGCATGCTACAAATCTTAATGTGTTTTATAGTTAAGGAAAACTGAGGCGCAGAGAAGTTAATTAACTTGCCCAATATTGTACAGCTAGTAAGTGGTAGAGCCGAGATACAAACCCAAGGAGTCTGGTTCTGGTATGCTTTTAACGTATGAATAAATATGCCTTTACTTGAGAGGAGGAGTGGCAGGCATTTCATCTACCAAAGTTATTCAGTTCCCAACCCTGGCCTCTTTCAGGTCCCGGGCGTTCCTGGTTGGCAAGTGACTTCTCTGGGGTGTAAGTGAGGCTGGTTTGAAGCTAGAGGTAAACCAAAGGTCACTGTCTCCACCATGTCGCAAGTGATGTCCAGTCCCCTGCTGGCAGGAGGCCATGCAGTTGGCTTGACTCCCTGTGAAGAACCCAGGAGGGCCCTGCATCCAGCACCCAGCCCCAGCCTACCACCCCAGTGTCCTTACTATACCACAGAAGGCTGGGGAGCCCAGGCCCTGATGGCTCCTACGCCTTACAAGGGACCACCCAGCAGGTGCCAGCAGGGCCCACAGCCTGGAGCCAAAGCCAGCTGCCTGTTACAGTCCCCTGGTGAGCAGGCCTCGGGGACCCTGGAGGACCTTGACTCCTACATCGACTTCTCACTGGAGAGCCTCAACCAGATGATTCTAGAACTGGACCCCACCTTCCAGCTGCTCCCCTCAGGAGCTGGTAGCCCCTGGGCTGAGCCCACCAAGAACACTACCTCGAGGATAAAGAAAGACGAGCCTGAAGCCTTGGGTAAGGACCTGGGGCACAGTGCCAGGAGGGGGTACTTGGGGACCACACCTCATGAAGAAGGACTTTTCAATCAAATCAGAGGAGCAGGGGACAATGTCCTGTTGGGAGGTGCTCTGCAGCCTTAAACAAGTTACTTAACCTCTCTGTTTTCTCTCCTATGTAAAAGATATATACAAGTTTCCCTCACTATCCAATTCTATTTTGTTACTGAGTTTGGAAAAGTGATGGATACTTGCTTTATGTGATTTTTTCAGAGACTTTAAATAAGATAATATATATATATAAGAATTTCATACAATGCCATACATATAATTAAGAGCTTGATAATTGAACCTGAGCCTCACTGCTCTATGATACATCTCTTTAGGTCCTAACCTGGGTCCCCTGAAGCTTTTATAGGTTTAGGGGAGTATCTCTCTGGGAACACCCAAGCTGGAAGTAGTAGGGTTGGAAAGACACAGAATTCAGTCTATTTAGGGCTGGCCCCTGCTGTGTTTAAGCAGTGGTGGACTGGTAAATGTTTAACAACTAGTTCTATAATGGGGTGAGAGAGAGCCCTGATTTAAAACATCTGCCAAATTTCATGTATACATTCTACCATGGCCAACTTCAAGCTACCAACATGATGTCACCGAATGTAGCATTGAAAGACATGCCTATAGAAGGCCATTACAGTACATATACTATTTCTACCATACCAATACAATAGATAGAAATAACATCAAGAGGGGGGATCCCTGGGTGGCTCAGCAGTTGAGCGTCTGCCTTTGGCCCAGGGCGTGATCCTGGAGTCCCGGGATCGAGTCCCACATCAGGCTCCCTGCACGGAGCCTGCTTCTCCCTCTGCCTGTGTCTCTGCCTCTCTCTCCATGTGCCTCTCATAAATAAATAAATAAACTCTTAAAAAAAAAAAAAGAAAGAACCTCAAGAGTATAGATAATAGGCACCTGATTGGCTCAGTCAGAAAAGCGTGCAACTTGTTATCTCAGGATCATGAGTTCAAGCTTCGAGCCCCATGCTGGATATAGAGATTACTTAAATAAATAAAACTTTATTTTTTTCCAGATTTTATAAATAAATAAAATCTTATAAATAAAATACAAATAAACTTATTTTTTGAGAGACAGAGAGCTCGAGAACATGCAAGTGGGGGAAGGAGCAGAGGGAGAGAGAGAAAGAGAGAGAGAGGGAGAGAATCTCAAGCAGTCTCCATGCTGAGTACACATCCTGACACAGGGCCCTATCTCATGACCCTGAGATCATAACCTGAGTGGAAACCAAGAGTCCGATGGTCAGCCAACTGAGTCATCCAGGTGCTCCTAAATAAATAAAACTTTTTTTAAAAAAAGAGTCTAAAAAAAATTAAAAAATAAAAATAAAAAAATAAAAAAAGAGTCTAGATAATAGAAAAATTTAGTAAAATAATGGGGATATGATAAATTGTATTTATCACTTTTGTTTTTTATTTTAAGTTTATGTTATATAATTTAATTTTTAATAATGTCTGAGTTTAGAAATCAGCTGGACAAAATCCTAAATATTTAACAATCAGCTCTTGCAAACTTGTACAAGTCATCTTCAATACACCACATCCAAGGGAATCTAGAAATTCCTACATCTGGTGTCAGTTTCCCAAATAAAGAGTTTCAAGTATACTTTGAGGGTCAAGGAGCAGCCCTATTAGGCTAGACAACTGAGGTCTCCAGGGGTTTAAAGGATCAGCATAAGTAAAGGGGTACAATTAGGATTAGAGATAGGAAAAAAAAAGGATTAGAGATAGGGTTCATGAGAATTTCTAATTATCGAGCACTTATTATATCTAGGCTCTGTGCTAAGTACCTAACAGGAGAACATTTGATCCTCCCAATCTATCATGGAATATCTTGTCACCATTTTACAGATGAAAAAACTGAGGCTGATAGACTTCAGCCAGTCTAGCCTAATCACTGGAGTCGGGCAAACATTACACGAGCTATTGACTTCCCTTCTTTGTCTCATATTCCTCATCTGTAAAATAGAAATGAGTTCTTAGCTCAAAGGGGGTTGCAGGGTTTAAAAGAAATAACACTTGTTGGGTGTTTATCAGAAATCCTGGCATGGTGTTAGTCATTACAAACGGTATCTGTTTTAATTAAACATGAGGTTTGCATTTAGGACTTGCCCCAGGATAGACACAGGGTCTGGGGTGGAGGTGAGGCTGGCACCCAGGTTCTCTGGCGCCCCAGTTCCAAGTCTCCAGCCTGCCTCCTGCCCCTCCCATCGAGCATTGCCTGCCAGGCTGTTAAAAGAACCACCTCTATCTCCCAAGATCTTCCTGCCTCTTGAGGCCAGTCATAGGCATGTCTCTGCAGGGAAGTGGTTGGGTCTAATTACCATTGGCAGGAGCAAGCCCAGGGCTTTAATGTTCATGCCCCAAGGCAGGGGTTCCACACACTCAAGGCCCGCTGGGGCAAGACCAGTCTCTGTGGAATGTCCATATGTATGGGGTGAGGACATTGACAACATCCCCTTCCCCCATCGGGCAATGGTCAGTAGTCTGGGTTCTCAAATGCCCTGGGCTCAACCTGCCATCGTGGGGATGCATCCACCTGACTCTACGTGGCAGAGGGGTTTCGGGGGATGAGTGGGCAGCTAACAATGGTCAGAGATTTCTGATGAAGACACCTAGTTCTGCCTAGTATCTTCTGATGGAAAAAGAAAATCCTTTCCTCTAACCTCTACCTGAATGGCAGTGATGCCTGGGAGCTCATGACCTCCTGAGACAGACGGCATAGTCAGTTTCCTGTTAGAAAGTTCTTCCCTGTGATCACTGTGATCACTAACAGTGTATCACTGTGATGGCTGGCACCTACCTGTCTCTTGCATCTCAACCTACCAAACCCCCCCCCTCAGACCACCACTACTGGTGACAGAGCACTTGCCAGCCTGTGGCAGCGTAACTGGCTCTGTCTCCGTGGTGAGTTTTCATTGGTCCCAAACTTATCCAAATGTGTGGGATGCCCTCCCTTTGCCTCTCATCCTTCCTTTTCTTGGGGTGTCGGAGGGAAGATGTTCTATAATTGTAGTGCTAGCAGATGTTCACTGTTTCTCTTTGTCCTCGCTTGGCAAAATTAAAAATTAAGCATCGACGATCCTGTTTCTCCCTCCCCTAAATATAGATGGATAGATTTTGTAGTGCATGATCTCAGCATCTACCCCCTGAAAGAAGCAGTGGTAGCCTCATTTGACAGATGAGAAAGCAAGGCTCAGAGAGAAGTAATGACCCATGATCACACAGCCAGTGCGTTGTAGTGCCCCTGCCTCAAAGCCTGGGCTTCTGGCCCCCAGAGTCTGTGTTCTTGCTTCTCTCTCTCTCTCTCTCTCTCCCCTCCTTCTCTCCCTCCCTCTCTCCCTCTCTTCTTTGGAGCTAGTTTCCTGCTCTCTGGAGCTTCAAAGAACAAACGTGTTTGGAGGCAGCCTGCAGGCTCCTCTTCTCGGGCTCCACCTCTCACAGTGCTCACAAATCTCCTCCAGCTTCCCTGCCCCTGCCTCTTGCTTACCTGCCTTCAGACTTACCCTGGGGGGCCCCCATCTCACAGGGAGCATGACTATTCCAAGCAAACACCATATCCATCTCCGCCATTCCTCCCCATCTTTGGACTAGGCACCCACATTTCATTTTCCAGCAATTTCAGCCAGGCAAGGCTGTTTGCCAATCCCAAGTGAAGGGTGTCTAATAACTGTCTCTCTGCCCCCCCACCCACGTGCCCCCTTCTACCAGCCTGGCCTGGCGCCTACATCCACCCAGCACTGCTCAGACCTGCCCCACGGGCCTGTAAACAGTGGCTGCACCCAGGTGAGGGTGTGGGGGGCCTCTACCTTCCCTAGCCACGTGCACCTCAGGGCAGCAGCAAGGGGTGACTCACAGCTCCAGGACTTCTTCCTTCCTCCCTTCCCACCCTCCTCTGCTTGCTCAGTCCCTGGAGCAAGCCCTTTGCGATGTTTGGATGACCCAGTGAGCAGGAATACCAGAGCTTCACCAGGTCAAGAGACCCTCCCCAAAGCAGCCATGTACCTTCTCACAGGGCAGGACCTTGGGAAAGGGTCATGAGGAGTCCCTCCTCCTGGAAGAGGCAACCCCCCCCCCCAACACCACGACAGATCACAGAAGCAGAAGTCAGATTTTTCCACTCCCTGGTTGTGTGGCTTTGGATAACTCACTTAGCCTTTCTGAGCCTTGATTTCTCATTTATTATATGGAATTCATAATATTTTCTACTTCAATACTTCATGAGGGTTAAATAAGCGAATACAGGTAACATGATTGCAACAGCACTGGCACACAGCACTCAATAAATATCAGCCCTTATTAAAAATTATGTAACAAATGCCAGCTCCATTGCCACACTTTTCTGAGCCTCAGTTTCCTCCTCTGTAAAAGCAATGCCTGCTGCTATAAACACTATAAAGTCCTATAAAAATAGAAGTTGTGCTTGACAACCTTCCAGAAGAATCCACCCCATTCCAAGACCTCTATTCTTTCAGAACCCACAAAACATTGTGCCAGATAGTCTTCTCTTGCTTTCAGCAGTGGGACTCCCACCATAGCTGGACAATGTCAGCCATCTGGCCAATACTGGCCTCAAAAAGCAGACAGGCGAGAGAAGTTCTCTAATGCTCACCAAGAGCCAGGCTTCTGGCACCATTCATCAGTGTTTTTGATCCTTACCACAACCTCAGGAGGTTGGTTTTAGATTCCCACTTTGCAGATAAGGAAACTGAGGCCTATGGTGATTAGGAGAGCCTGATGCCTCCTAGCAGGAAAGTGGCAAAAACAGGACTCACGCCTGGGTTTGTCTGCCAGCAAAGCCAGGCCTGTTCCTATAGCCCTTGGGACAGCATGCCCAGGTCAGTCTGCCAGCGGCCCCCTCATCTGAGTAATCCTGCACCCCCACCCCGGGCTAAGCAGACTCAGACAAAGGCAGTAACCGCAAGGAAGCTCAGAGGTCCTCCCCTGGAGCGGGCCAGGGCAGGCAGGGATTCCACAGTCAGAGTGGGCGGGCATTGGTACCTATGCCAAAGCCCAAGGGGGTGGGAAGCTGGCAGACAGGAGCCATAGGTGCGGTTTCCCGCCGACTCTGCCCCAGTTCCCAACCTGGGAATCCAGAGGCAGGACCTAACAGGCCTCTGAGAGGGAGCAGCTAGGTAGCCCCCACCTTCCACCATCTTTGCTAGAATAACAGCCAGAACAGTTCCCCTCCCCCAGGTCAGGAGGAGGGGTGTCCATGCTCACCATGAGGAAAACCACTAGATACCCCGTTCCCGGGAGGAGCAAGTCCTCAGAACAAGAGTCCTGGGTGTCCCCCACTGGGGAATGGAAAGAGCATTGGAGTGAGTCACCACCCTGGGGCATGTTGAATAAACAACAATTGTGTACCAGCTAAAAGCGTGGCCTGGGAGGTCCACAGCTTGATCATGTAGCCAACCCCCTGGGATCTCCTGCTCTTAAAGCAGAGTTCTCAAACTCTAAAGTGTTCTCAAACTCTAACTCAGATTCTAGGGAGTCCTGCTAAAATGCAGATTCTGATTCAGCAGGTCTGGGGTGGAAACCAAGATTCTGCGCATTCGACCAGCTCCCAGGTGAAGTAGCACTGCTGGGCTGGGGGCCACAGTGGTGTGGCTTGGTGCACACTGGAATCAGCAGGGGAACTAAACAAACTGAGGTCTGGGTTCACCCTGGAGATTCTGATCTATTGGCACAGGGTGTAGCCTAGGCATTAGGACTCTTAAAAGATGTTAATGTGCAACCAGGAATGAGAACCCCTGCCTTCATTGTAGGCACAGATGTAAAAACATGCCCTGAGCAATGGAGGCATCAGAAATAGAGTGTGACTGGCACACTCTATTAAGCAGTCATTTTAACCTGGGAGGGAGACATTCACTCAGGAGAGGATTTCCTAGTTTTAAAGGATTTACTATGTGCCAGGAACAGTGCTATGTCACCTACATTCATCTCATCTTATCTTTACTGTAACACCAAGAGACTGTATATAGTCACCCCATTTCACAGGTATGGAAACTGAGGCTCTAGTTGGTGAAGTCGTTTGGCCAGGTGCTCTGATAGTAAATGGCAGAGCCACATCTGAAATGTAGGTCTATCTGACTCCAAGGTCTATGTTCATCCTACTGCATCTCCCCACCAAAGGAAGAAATCACAGGGAGGCTGACTTTGGAACTGCACCTAGGAGGTGGAGCTGGATTCTAATCCTAATCCAGCAAACTTCTCTCTAAGCCTTGGTTTCTTCATCTGTCTAAAAGTGGAGAGACCAAATGGTCTTGAGGACTCTCCCAGCACTCTTATTCTGTGAGTCTAGGCTCCCAGGCTTCACCAATGCTCTGCTCTCTCCCCAGACATAAAGTACATCGAAGTGACCTCCACCAGATCAAGGTGTCACGATGGCCCCCAGTGCTGTTCCAGCCCATCTGTCACCCCACCTTTTGGCTCCCCACGCAGTGGTGGCCTCCTCCTTTCCAGAGACATCCCCCGAGAAACTCGAAGCAGCAGCGAGAGCCTCATCTTCTCTGGGAGCCAGGGCAGGGGGCACCAGCGCCCCCCTCCCTCTTCTGGGGCTCCCTCCTCTCATCCCTCACCCTCTCCCAGTATCTCCATCCCCTGCATGGGGAATAAGGCCTCAGGCCCCCAAGGCTTGGGCTCCCCACTGGCAGTTTCTCCAGGCTTAGAGAAGGGGTTGGGTGGCCTGGCCCCACAGCGGGGCAGCAGAATGTCTGTGTTGTCAGCCAGCCCAGCATCTGATGTCAGCTACGTGTTTGGAAGGTAAGTTGCTCCCACTATAGTTTCTGATATTGCCTCCACAACACACACACACACACACACACACACACACCCTAAAATCATAGAGGAGGCACCCTGCTCTATCTGACCAAAATCAGAGTGCACACCAAAAACAAAAGAGTGAATATTCTCTTTTATGCCATCACAGTCATTTGGACCTCAAGCTTTCCTCAAGTATTTAGAATATATGTAACTCAATATACAAAAATTTTGAGTTATGTCTACCTCTTGGGAAAAGAACTGATACATCATGGGGCTCACCTGATCCTTTCCAGCACACATACAATCCATCTCTAGGAAGGGATTTTTTTTTAAACCTCAAAACATACGGATGTAAATAAAATTGGGGGGCCTAGGATAAAGCATTTACAAAATAAAAGCTTTCTTATTCTTTGTTGCTAGCAAAGCCTAGCAGGACAGAGTTGCCCAGCCCAGTTTGCTGGCTTCATAGTAAAGCTGCACACACACCCATCCTGCCCAGGAGAACCAAACCACAGGACCTCTGTTCCCTACACCGATTCCAAAGTCGATGTGCCAAGGCAGTCCTTGGCAAGAAGGCTGGGATTCCACAGCCATGGCCGTTGGCATGGGCCTCTGAGTTCAGAAAGAAGTCTGGCTAGATGCAGAGCTGGCCTCCTCCTCTTCCTCCAGCTGGGGAGTTCCCTCTGCATCCGGCATGGACATGGTCCAGCGGGCATGCAGGGCTCTTGGGAATATCGGGCACTTGTGTGATAACTCGGTCAGACCTGCCGGGCTGAGAAGACAGAGGGGATCCAGTCCAGCCTAAGCCCACATGACCTGCAGGGGATCAGCTCATTGGCTACTTTAAATGGCCAAGACTCTGCAGTGCAGGGACATTTCTGTATCCTTCGGCATCCCTTGGGAATCCAGGTGGATATGCACTTTGCTCTGAGCTGTGGGGGATGGAGTATGCAATACACTATTTAACCAGAGCTTTGGGTACCCCAGATCAGTAGATTGTGGAGCCTGGCTCTGGCCCCTGTGTGTCCGCTCTGACATCCTAACACCCTGCCTATCTGGTGCCCCCCTCTGCAGCAGCCAGTCCCTCCTCCATTCCAGTATGTCCAGCCATCAATCATCTTCTAGATCCTTGGAAAGCCCAGCCAGCTCTTCTTCCAGCCTCCACAGCCTTGGCCAAGTGTCCCTGTGTACAAAAGCCAGTGATTTCCAAGCCCCCAGCAACCACACCCCAAATATGGGCCAGCCCAGAGCAACCCACTCCTCACCACTGGCCAAAGAACATGCCAGCAGCTGCCCACCATCCATCACCAACTCCATGGTGGACATACCCATTGTGCTGATCAACGGCTACCCAGAACCAGGGTCTCCCCCATCCCAGCAGATTCTAGGATGCCAGGACTTTGTCCGACCTGGGGCCACTTCTTCCAGCAATTCTTGTCCAGCCACCAGGAGCCATAGCCAGACCCTGCCAGATGCCCCTCTCATCACCTCCTCGGAGGGTAAGTTGTAAACCAATACTTCAAATGTTGTAAGGTTTGGTTTGGGGAAATAGACAAAACATCAGTGGGAGTTTCTGCAATAGCAGTTCAACACACTTGAATACCTAATGTGTGCTAAGCACTTTGCCAAATAGTAGAGACAACGAGACAGATACAGTTTAGAAAGAGAGACAAAAACCAAGGATCACTACAGAGTAGAATAAACACAGAAGTAAAGAGATGTCCTAAGTCTTTCGGGACCACAAAGGAAGGGATGTTCCTTTTGGTCTGGAAAACTGGGAAAGTACCTCAGAGGAAGTGACATCTGAGCTGGATCTGGAAAGTGGATCAAAAGTCTGGAGCCATAGTGAAAGGGACCTGAGTGGGGAAAAATTAGAGAGGGAGACAAACCATGAGAGACTCCTAACTCTGGGAAACAAACAAAGGGTTGCAGAAGGGGAGATGGGTGGAGGGATGGGGTAACCGGGTGATGGGCACTAAGGAGGGCACTTGATGGGATGAGCACTGGGTATTATACTATATGTTGGCAAATTGAATTTAAATAAAAAAATTTTTTAAAGAAGTATTCAGCCAGAGCAGGTGAGGAGGGGCATTCCTCGCAGAGGGAACAATGAGTCCACGGTCATGAAGGTGTAGAAGCACATGCATGTTTAAGAAATGACTGGAGTGTTGGGTGTGGGGCGCAGTAATTGAGTAATCTGGGGCAAGATTGAGAAGTCTTGAATACCACACTAAAGAGTAGATTCCATCCGCTAGGCAATGGGGTACTAGCAGAGAGGCTCACACAGAAAAGTTTTGGGATCAGAGGTACACATTCAATAGATCACTCTGGCAGCTAGCTACATGACAGCTGAATTGCAGGGCCCAGCCTGGGCAGGGAGAGCAGTTTTGTTTTGGTTTTCATCACTGAAGTGGTCCGGACAAGCTGTGACGGGGGCCTGCACCAGGGCAGGGCAGAGGAGAGAGGACAGAGCCAGGAGACCCTCGGGATATGAAAACAGCAGGCTTGATGACTAACCCAAGAGAGGGAGAAGGAGACAGAGTCAGCCCTACCTCTGACGTTCGCAGATGACGAGCACACAGAGAGCCGGCGGAGACAATGCATTCCAATTCAGACAGCTAAAAACCACAAGACGCAAACACCCTCCTTCCCGTAGTCTGTGACTACAATCGTCCAAAAAGAACAAAACCAACCAGAGCCCAAAGCAGTAAACACAGAGGCTCAGGCTTAGCACCCACATGGTGCACCTCTCCAGAGGAGAGCTCCTGCAGAGCCCCAGGGTCACTCCCTACTGCCCCCTCACTCAGCCACAAGCATCAGGGTGACTCCTGGGGTGGGGGATGATGTTCACTCTGGCCCATGCCACTATTCAGGAAGCCATGTCCGCATAAACAAAAGAAAATGGCATGACAGGTGTGCCTGTGAATCTGCTCTGATCATTTTCCCAGGACAAATCATTTGCAGACTTTAGTACATTTTTTAAATAATGAGTTACCCTCAACTGGCCACAGCACACCTTTTCAAGATGCCAAAATTGAGAACCACTGTTCTCTGCCTTATGGACCTGGGAAAATAGCCATTTTGTTATCACAAAGAGCACATGTACTTAATCTGGTGATATTCCCATCCTGGTTTGGTGACACCCCAGGATATCACTAATTATACCCTGGGGTCTAATCAAATTCTGCAAACCATTCTCAAAACAAAATCCATGCTAACTGCCCAGGCTATTGGAGTGTCAAAGACCCTCAGAGACTGTTTAGTACACTTGGTCCTCTCTGGGCTTCAGGAGCAAGACATTTGTCCCAAATCAGAGTCAGGAATCCTATCTCCTGACTTCTTCAGGGGTTTGTCTGCCCAGATCTGTTGCCTTCCTTTCCTCAAACTTTTAGTTCATCTTCTTTTCCAAACTGTTATATGACCCCCAAGACACTTGTAGGATTCTAAGGGGGAAGAATGGGTAAAATCAAACACATGATGCATCTTAGATCCCGTATTTATCCCTTCTTTCAGTCCACACCAGACAACACTAGATTTGAGAAACTGTTTCTCATTAAACTGAGATTTTATCTGTTTATGACTCATTACCAAGGATACAAGGGGAGACTCCTAGGTCCTAGATGTGCCAAACCCTGGAATTCTGTTAGATTTTGCCTCTTATAGGCAGTTGGAGATACAACAGGGTTCGGGTAGGGTAGGGTGGGTTGAATAGGACTAATGAGAGGGTCCCCCACTCCCCTCTGTCCAGCCTAAAGGGTCTCCCTATCTGTCTCCAGGTCCTACCAGGGACATGCAGCCCACCATGAAGTTTGTGATGGACACATCTAAATACTGGTTTAAGCCAAGCATCACCCGGGAACAAGGTAAAAGGAAGCATTGTGTTTCGAGGGATGAGTGATCCAGGAGTCAAGTCTGGGTCTTGCACTTTGCATCAGGCAGATGGGGCCCTGGATCATGGTAGGGAAGGGAATGGCAAATTGTAAGTCCAGGGAAGGGGGGTATCGTGTGAACCTCATGTCCCAAGAAAATGGAAGACTGCAGCAGGAAGGGTGGGGATTAGACAATAGGAAGGACTTCTCGGGAACACAAGGTGATTCTGTAATGTCTGCTCTATGAAGACCCTATGGGACTGGGAGACAGAGGGTGTCCAGGTCAGGGGGGTAACTGTCTCTGACCCAAGGATTGTTCCAGCAATCGAACTGCTGAGGAAGGAGGAGCCAGGGGCTTTCATCGTGAGGGACAGTTCTTCCTACCGAGGCTCCTTCGGCCTTGCCTTGAAGGTACAGGAGGCCCCTGCACCTAGCCCCAACCGATCAGGTATGCACTCATCTCTATCACCACTCAAGGCCTTACAGAGGCAAGGGGGTATGGTGGGTTCTAGGCCCAGCTCCTCCGCTACCTTGCAGCCTACCGCCCGTAAGGACTCCTAGGAGGAAGGGCCACCTCAGCGCTCTCCCAGCTGCCTTCTTCCACTGAGGCTCTGTAAAGAGCCCTTTCCATGGCAAGCCTGAGCTGCCTCTGCCTCCTGGAGTCCCCAGGGTCCCTGCTCTGCTCTCCTGGAGGGGAAGAGGAGGAAGTACCCAGCCCCTCTCCAGGAAGCTCCCCTCTGGGTGCCCCCCTCTGTCCAGACCAGCTCTATTGTGAAGGAACTTAATGTGTGTGCCCTAGCTTATCATGTATGTGTGACAGCTTATCATGCATGATTTTTATCACATGTGGGCCCTGGCCTATCACATGTGCATGATAGTTTGTCACATATGTGCTAGTTTATCACACGTGTGATAGCTTATCATATGCTTTCCTGGGGTCTCACACACGCAACACACTTCTGTGGGGCACCCACCCTGTACTAGGGTACCTCACTGGGAGAGAGAGAAAAATAGATCATTATGGTACAAGGTACTTCAGTAACAGCCCCTCCCCAAGCTCCAGAAGTGTAGCTCTCATGTAACAAATGCATGAGGTAAATGGGGCTCCAAGAGTTAGTTAATGACCTCCCAGAGCTGGGATGAAAACCCCAACTTCATGCTCTCCACACTATATGCCGCTCTGCCTAAATAAGAAAGTGACCTCTGGGGCAGTGTTGGTTATCACTGTGCCAACAAGCACAGAAAGGAGGACGGCTGGTGGAGAAGATGCAAAGGAGCATTGGGCACCCTCCAGGGCCAGCCTAACTCCAGCAGGGACCATCTGGTGCAGAATAATAGCCCCTGGGAAGGAATCAGTGGGGGAGAGAGAAATCAGGCTGAAGAATAAAGATCTGATCTCAGCAGGCATTGGAACCATCCACCATCCCTGGTAGCTCTTGAGACCAAGAGGAAGGGATCCCTGGGTGGCGCAGCGGTTTGGCGCCTGCCTTTGGCCCAGGGCGCGATCCTGGAGACCCGGGATCGAATCCCACGTCGGGCTCCCGGTGCATGGAGCCTGCTTCTCCCTCTGCCTGTGTCTCTGCCTCTCTCTCTCTGTGACTATAATAAATTAAAAAAAAGAGAGAGACCAAGAGGAAGATCTCCAGAGAAGAGAATTACTGGACGCAGAAGACTTTGAGCAAACACATTGGCACCTCCTTTGCAGGAGGCCTTGACAATAGGGTTCCTACTGGCAGTCCCACCCAGAGGCTGGGGGATGAACAAGTTACTGTCCAGATGGACCAGGAGGAAGCTAGTCAGAGAATGAGTTGGTTGGTGTTTGGCCAACACTGGACTCTAGAACTCCCATCCATCCACACTATCTTCTGCCTTTGTCCAGGTGAGGAAAACAGTGACCTCATCCGCCACTTCCTAATCGAGTCTTCCGCCAAAGGGGTACATCTCAAAGGAGCAGATGAAGAACCCTACTTTGGTGAGCCTCTCCAGCCTACAGGCCGCTAGGTGGGCGCCACCTTTCCAGGCTAGGAGACTGGTCCTGGGAAAGGCTTCTCACACAGGATGGCCTGTTTCCTTGCAGGGAGCCTCTCTGCCTTTGTGTGCCAGCATTCCATCATGGCCCTGGCCCTGCCCTGCAAACTTACCATCCCACAGAAAGGTAGGTCTGGGCCCCAAAAAGGCAACACCAGGGCACTAGGCCTCTCTATTCTTACTAGAAAGGCTCCTAGTGGTCACATCTCTATTTATGCATTAGTATCATGGTTAAAAGTGCTTTGTCTGGAATCCATCAGTATCTTCTGATTGAGAATTTGAGAATGTCCAACCTTTCTGAGCCTCTGTTTCCTCCTCTATGAAATGGGGACAGCTGTCATCATATCTCCTTACAAGATTAGTTGGGGGTTAAATGACTGGGTCCAGATGAGGCTCTTATCACTGAGTACATGTTTGATAAATAGGAGCTTTCTTTCATAGGATGGAAGGAGCATAAATCAGCTGGTTTGGAAAGGTTTCGGGTATTTTTTTCTTCCAGGTCCAACCTTTATTGGGCACTCCCTTGTTACTCATCCCTCACCACAACTGTGTCAAATAGGTGTTATCTCCTATTTCACAGATGAGAAAAGGAGGGCTTGAGGGGCTGAATAAATTGCCCAAAGGCACACAGATAAGACCTGGAACCAAGATCAGAAAGCTGCAAGACTAGCCAGAGTAGATGATCTCAGGATGTGCAGGAGGAGAAGCAAAAGGATCTGGGAGAGGAGTCAGGGCAGAGAGAGCCCTGGTGTGGTGATGGGGAGCCTCCCTACTTTCTGCAAAGAAATACCTGAGTTTGGGATTGGGTCCAAAAGAAGGAAGGAGGTCAGAGGCTTCTGAGGACCAGGTAACTGCAGCAGTCCAGAGGCTAGAGGAGTGAGGAGGGGAAGGAGGGATCAAAAGGCTTACAAGTGAGGCATCTGGGTTGCTGCAAGTGGCGCTGTTTGTCTAATTACGGTAATCACATCAGGTTTCTCAAGGGCTTGCTTCCTGGAGGTGGGGGCAGAGGTGGGACATGTTCAAAGGGATTTATGTTCCTATAAGAAGAGTCCTGTTCACTCTGCCCCCACCCCCTCTGGGGCCTGTTCCTTTGCTTTGGCTCAGAATTGGGAGGTGGAGATTCCTCAGACCCCACTACAGACAGCCGAGCCTCCTGCCTGAAGAAATCTGCAGGTGAGTGGCATGGGGGCGGCTCCAGGCTTGGCTGTGCCTCCGGAGGGTACCTCCCGGCCCCACGCACACATGCCCATGCGAGTCCACACATGTTCCCATTACAGCTTTGTTTCTTCATCCTTAATAAGGTGCCCTACAGTCCTCCCCATTCCTATAAACTAGAGGTGGAAGGCTGCAGTCTGGAGTGGGGGGGGTGCCGGGGGATGGGAGAGTGGCAGGAGAGAAGGAGGTTAGTAAGGCTTATACCCTGTCCTGCACACACATGCACACATGTGGATGTGCTGGGGTCTCTCTGGTTCTGAGATACCTGCCCTAGAGGTGATCTCTAAGATTGGGGTTCTCTGTGGAGTGTCATGTCCAAGTCTTGGGAGTCTCTACAGGGGAAAAGTTGCTCCTGTTCCATCCAGAGGAGAGGCACAGATCAGTACTTGTCTGAGTGACAGCTCCTACAATGGGCCCCCTCCCCATTCTTGTCTTCACCTTCTCTTGACAATGAACAACCAAGACTCCAGGGTAGGTAGAGGTGGAGGCAGTGCCAACCATGCTTCTAGACAGAAGGAAAGTTTGCCTGGACATCCCTACACATAGGACAACAGCCCCTCCTTTACTCTACCCTAGAGGGCCAGAGGCCAGAGCAAGGCAAAGCAACAGATGCTTCTAAAGTCCTCTGGGGTTGGCCTCAAATTGCCGTCACCTACACACCCCTGCCTGCCTGCCTTCTGCCTGCCTCATGGTTCAGAGGAACCCCACTGGGTCCATGAAGAAGGAAGAGCCCTGACACCTGTCTCTGGGTAGAGGGAGGACCAGGGTGTGGGTGACCCCACCTACCCCTGCATGGTGGATCCTGGCAAGGCCCAAACACAGCATTTACATCCCACAGGCTGCCATGCCCTGTACCTGACCTCCGTGAGTGTAGAGAGCCTGAGTGGAGCCCTGGCCGTGCGGAAGGCCATCTCAACCACCTTTGAGAGAGACGTCCTCCCCACACCCACCGTGGTCCACTTCAAAGTCACTGAGCAAGGCATCACCCTGACTGATGTCCAGAGGAAGTAAGGGACTTCCCTTGCCCTGGGGCTGCTGGGCTGGGCAGGGGGATCTGAATGGGATGGCTGAGATGGCTGTGGATCAGTAATGAAGGTAGGATTCAGGATCCTGGACCCAATGTGGTCAGTGACCTGCTAAGTGACTCCAGGCAAGTTCTCCGCTTTCTCTGGGCCTCACACCAATGACCTCCTACCAAAGTCTCCCTTCCCTGTGACCAGTGGAGTTGAAATTAACCAGTATGCATTGGGCACTGGTTAAGTCTGCATCCACTGATGGAACAGCTACAGGAGGCCAGACTCTGGCTGCCCACTGGGACACAATGGATGAGGTCACTCCTTCCCCTGCTCAGGCTCAGGGCTTCACAGTGTAGCAGGAGCCCTAGAGCAGGTTCCTCTAGGAACAAGATAAGCAAGATGTCATTCCCATCCTCAAGCAGTCGAATAACATAGTGGGCAGGGAGCAGGGAGACGATAGAAAACCTGAAGATTCGGGAAACAAGGCAGATCCATTCCAAGAAAAGAGAAGTGCAAACATGTACCCCATGGCCCAGCAGTGGGAACAGTCACAGGAGGCTTTAAGGGGTCTGAGAGGCTTCTTGGAGAGCAGAGCATCTGACCTTTGAGAGAGCTGAAGAGGATGGAGGTAGAATGTGGCACCAGGACAGGCTCCCACCAGCTATCCTTCTCCCCCTGCCCCTTCCAGGGTGTTTTTCCGGCGCCATTACCCCCTCGCCACCCTCCGCTTCTGTGGCATGGACCCTGAGCAACGGAAGTAAGTTCAAGGCTGGGCCAAACTCAGCCATGTGGGACGTAGCTGCCCACTGAGGTTTCTTGCTGACTCTGGGACTGGGGTCACAGATAAAGCCTGTGACCCTTGAGGGGTAGGAACAACAGGATGAGGGGAGGGTGGGACCTGGTGGGGTGTGGACACAGCTGGCCATTGTCTCCTGCTGCTCAGCCAGAGTTCTGTGAAATGCAGAGAAGCCTCAGTACTCATCACTGTCCATCTCTTTTTCCCCCAGGTGGCAAAAGTACTGCAAGCCCTCCTGGTAAGGCCTTCATGTGCACTGTCGGCCACCATACAAGTTTCCCTGGGCCATAGCCTGGGACCCAGCAAGGGGAGGAACTTAAGGAAGGAGGGAAGCCATGTCCTGATCTTAAGACAGCCCATGGTTTTGATGGGGGTGGCACAGGCCCCAGTCCTCAGAAAGCCTCCAGTCTGAAGAAGGAGACATGAGCCTGGGAGCCCTTGGTCTTATGTAGGAGGCACAGGTTCTGACCACAGGGAGTCTTATCTATGAGGATGCCCCAGTCTGATGGCCAAGACACATCCTTGCCCTCAGAAAGCTTCCACTCTGATGAGGAATTCACAGGTCCTATCCTCAGAGAGCCCTCATTCAAAAGGAGGGAAAACTAGATCTTGAACTCCAAAATCACCCAGTCTGACAGAGGAGACATATCTGACCCTCAGAGAGCTGAGCAAGGGACAGGGAGGAGCACTATATTAGTGGAGATCACCTCTGCCAGTCTCTCTGGGTCATCTCACTCAGGCTATTCTCTCCCACCAGGATCTTCGGGTTTGTGGCCAAGAGCCAGACAGAGTCACAGGAGAATGTGTGCCACCTGTTCGCGGAGTACGACACGGTCCAGCCAGCCTCCCAGGTCATCAGCCTGGTGGGTACTCTGCTGCAGGACACAGAAAGGATGTAGAGGGAGGGAGCTTCCTGTGCACCTTCCCAGACATCCTAAGGGGCTGGAACCCCTGAATGGGAGCCGTGGCCACACTAATGAGCCAATTTATTGGACTGGAGGAGAATGATACCAAGTGGAAACCCTATGACCTTCAGCAATGACCTTCATCCAGACCAAACTGTGTCTCAGTTTCCTCAACCATAAAAAGAGGCCAATAGACAAGAGCAGCTGTTCTTCTCAGACTTTGACAGGCATCTAAACAAGCTTCTTGTGATTCTGAAGCACACCCACATCTGAGGACCCCTGACTCCATCAACTTGGACACTACCAGCACAGCAGCCTGAGTTAGAGACCTGGACTCTGTCATGGCAAATAGCAGGTGCTGGATCAGGACCCATGGGCTCCTAGTCCACGGCTGACCTGAGAGAGATGATGTACAAGGATTGAGGATGTACAAGGACGGATGGACAGACTCAACTTCCCTCCATATCTGTTCCTTTCCCTGCTTCTGTAATGGCTTCTTTGGCAGCTGTTCCCAGGACAAAGCAGGATCTGCCCACCCTGGATTCTTAGGCCTATGTGGCCATAGTTGTCAGGGTAGCTTAGAAAGGGGGAACTGGTCCCCAAGGTCAGAGACCACCCAGCTACCCTCACATTCTTGATGTCTAGCCTTTGCCATTGCAAATTAGTATCAGCCCCATCTTTTCTTTCAATTTTTTGGTAAGGGTCCTCCAGCTGGTGTCACAACTGCCCTCATGTTACTTTTGTAACCCACAGGAGGGAGGTGGGGGGCAGGGAGACCGCCTGCGCTCTAGAGCAGACACAAGGGTCAGCTTTCTCTGGTTCTGTCTCAGCTCCAGCCTTGCTGAGTGCCCCCTGCTCCCCAAAACACACACATAGACACATAGACAGGCACAGCAGTAGGGCGTCTACTGGCCTCACAACCACACAGGGGCAGCAGAGAGTCATGAATACAAACAGGCAGTCAACTCAAGAGGTTTGGAGAATCTGGGCGGTCTTTTCCCCACCCCCACTTCCATCAAGACTCCCAAGAAGTTGGAATAGTTTGTCTAACAGGCCTGGGGTCCTAAGAAAACCACACCATGAGGATGGAAGAGGAGGCTGAGAAGAAGCCCACTTTTGTTCTATAAGGAGCAAGTGCCCGCCCCCTCCCAGCTGTAGGCCCTGCCACAGCATCATTGTCATTATCTTTGGCCGTAGTTGGGTCTGATGGATTATATGATTTCAACCCAGGAAGCCAAACCGGACTGAAGCTGCCCTGGGCTAGCAGGACTGGCTGAGAGCAGCCCACTCAGCCTGTGCTGGAGAGTACAGCACACTAGACAAGTTCTCAAGGTCATATTCAGGAGGGAGAGCCTCCCCTCCTTGTACCCATGAGTGCCTTTGTAGTTCCCATGGAAAATAAAGTGTCTGTCTTGGCATCACAGTTGATTCTAAGGCATTCAAGACTGCCCACTCAGAGGTAGAGACCTGAACAGAGAGGAGTTGGCAAGTGGTGGCATGTCTTAAAGAAGACTGCATATGCCACACTCCCTCCTAAACCCCTGGCCACAGCAGTACGGTCTCCATGGGCTTCCCTTCATAAACCATCTCAAACCATTCCATGTCCCCAACATGGCCCGCACATGCGGTTTTCTCCTTTGTAACTCCTCGCCTGCCATTCTGCTAGGAAGACAGAGATTTGAGCTCTCACCTGTGTCCCAGGGCTGAAGGGGAGTCTGTGTGGCCCCCCTGACAGGTTCCAAGGTCTCACTCAGGCTCCATGAGGAACGAGGAGAGGCAGGTGAAACATTGGCAGTCGGGAAGAGTCTCTGAACCCAGATGAGCCCTGAGCTACCAGTCCAGCCCTAGAGAACCAGACAGTGGCTTCATTATCCCACCCTGAGCCTGAGTGGTAGTTCTACCACTAGCTTCTGCCAGTCGGCCATCCAAGTCGTTCCAAGTGATATAGGAGGGGCCTCAAGAAATCTACTTTCCTAAGGAGACTTAGGAAGGGGAGCTGCTGCTTCTGTTGAGGCCCAGCTCTGTGACCCAGTGGCAGGAGCTGCTGCTTCTGTTGAGGCCCAGCTCTGTGACCCAGTGGCAAGAGCTGCTCTGCCTGGAGGGCCTGCAAAGAGACCCTCCTAATGGCTTTAAATCGCTGTTGAGGAGCCCCACCACCCTACCCACTACCAAACTTTGATTCCAGCCTCCCACCCCAACCCCCCTCGACCTAGCTGTGGACCGAGTCAATGGACTCATAACACTCTGCTGCATTTACCACAGCTCATCTTTCCTCCAGGAAGATTTAACAAAGAACTTGACTTAGACCTTTGCTGATGGGCAGAGCAGCCAGCCCAACAAGGGTAAATGGGGTGGGGAGCAGAGGGGAGGAAGGACAGCCCAAAGGGGAGGGGCCTTCATGCCCCAAGTTCAGGAGGTCCTGGGCCTTACAGCCCTTAGTCTAAAGACTCCCTCACCAGTACTTTCCAGTGTCATCCCTCCCAACTTTCCATCCCTCCTCATCCTGCAGTCTACACACACACCCTAAACAACCCGCCACCCCTTTTCCCCTTCCTCCCACCCCCAGGTTCTCCTCTCCTTCCTCACCTTTCTCCAACTCATTCCTTCTTGACCCACCTGCCCTCAAAACCATCCTCTCCCTCTTTCCAGAAAACCCTTCCTCTCTCTCAGTCTTGTCCCATGTAATTTCTTTCCCCACATCCTTTTGGCCCCAGGTGGCTATACCCAGAGCAAAGCCCAGCTTGAGTAGATGGGAAGTGAGAGAGTAAGCTGCCTGCACTGCCAACCACTTTTCAAGTCTCAGATTGCCATCCTCTCTGAGTCCTGCCTCCTTTCTGGCTATAGAGCCACCTCCCCAGAAGGCTGAAGCACCCTCCCCACCCCTGCCACCTCCCCCACACTCATCTGTCTGCTTACCTCAGCCTCAACCTCCTGTCCTTAACTCTCAAGCTCTCCAATAGGCTGAGGGATTAGAACCAGGACAGGACTGGAAGGTGAAGGGCTCTCAACCCAGAGATCGGTGCCTTGCTGCATGCAGCAAGGGTTTTCTGGCTGGATGCTTTGCTCATCTGAGCCAGGAAAACAGATCAGTGCAACAGCATTCTAACAGAGGTTTGGTGAGTGCCATGTAGGGCTGGCAGCAAAAGTAGAAACAGGGAATGTAAATATTACCCATGTGGAGGGAATGAGGGCAATGTTGCCAAGGAGGTAACATTTGGGTTGCATCTTCAAGAATGAAAAGGGGTTTAGGATGCAAAGAAGTGGAGAAACCAACTTTTACTGGGAGTCTCTTATGCGCTCAGTGCAATGTGAGGCACATTAAGTATGTCTAATCCCATTTCACTGATGCCCATATTCTCCTAGCTAGGAAATGGCAGGGAAATAGGATTCAAAATCTGGGCCCATTCTGCCTCAGCATTCTCAAACAAGCAGATAAGATGAATTTGTGCATCAAGCACACCGGTATGTGACGGCACCATGTTCAGTGTAGCTAAAGGATATGTGAGGGGAAAGCAAAGGAGAGGGGATGCAAAGGAGAGTCGGGAGCCGGACTATCCAGAACCTTGGGTGCCCAGCTGAGAACATCTAGGGAATGAATACCTGTTACATGAATGGAGGAGTGAAAGAATGAATGAGGCTGGACTCAAGACCCTTTGTGTACATTTGTGCACAATCCTACATGGCAACCTACTTGGATTTCATCCTGTAGGCAATGGGGAGACATCAGAGACTTTTCAGCCAAGGAGTAAGTGACCATATTTGTGCTTTAGAAATAAGGGTGTTTGGGCAGCCCTGGTGGCTCAGTGGTTTAGCGCTGCCTTCAGCCTGGGGTGTGATCATGGAGACCTGGGATTGAGTCCCACATCGGGGTCCCTGCGTGGAGCCTGCTTCTCCGTCTGCTGTGTCTCTGCCTCTCTCTCTGTCTTTCTGTGTCTCTCATGAATAAATAAATAAAATCTTAAAAAAAAAAAGAAAGAAGGGTGTTTAGGGGCAGGAGACAGGATCTGAGGACTGGGTTGGGGAAAAATATGATCAGAAGAGGAAGCTGAAAAAAAAAAAGGAAGAGGAAGCTGTGAGAACTTGGACTTCAGGCCAGGAAAGGGAAAAGAGCCTAAGGAGCTAGGCTGGGGTAGGATCCTACTTGATTTAGGCCTGGGTCCTGGGTTCCTCTGACTTGAAGGGCCATGTGGGATAGAGCAGGAGCAGGGCCTCCCCGTTCCCCTTGTGTCAGTCTCCTCGGGCCTCCATCATACAACACTGGGTGGCTTAAACAACAGACATTTATTCTGTCACAGTTCTGAAGCCTAAAGTGCAAGCATGGCTGGGTTCTGATGAGACCTCTCTTGGCTTGCAGATGGCCACCTTCTAGTTGTTTGCATACATGGCCTTTCTTCAGTGTGTGCTCCTGGGAAAGGAAATCTCTCTCTTCTTAATAAGGCCATCAAGCCTATAGGATTAGGACCCTACCCTTCTGATCTCCACTAACCTTAATTAACTCCTAAAAATCCTATTTCCAGATACAGTCATACTGGAGGGTTAGGACTGGTGAATTTGGAGGAACACAATTCAATTCTGCCCCAGCCATGTTCCTTGCTCCCACAGTTCCCTGTGCTAGCCTGGCTGGGGCTCTCTTTCTCCTGACCCTGGCCCTCAGAAGCAGCCAAGGACTTATTTTGTAAGTCTCTGCTTCCTAGAAGGCATCTCAGTGTCTACCTCCCTGCAATTGATTCTTGTGGAGGGAGTCACATGGAGCTTGACTTGCAGCAGGCCAGGAACCCAAGCCAGGAGGAGGGAACCAGAGAACATGAGGGAAAGAAGGGAGAACATCACTCACTTGTTCATTCATTCATTCGCCAAACATATGCTGAGCTCCTGTGTGTACAGTGCAGCCTTAGGCATACTGGGGCTGGGCAGGGTATGTGCCCCAGGAGAGACGTTCTGTTCTCCACAGCATTAGATGTGACACTGAATACTGAGATGGGACATATCGTTTGTCCCGTTCATACCACTCTCACCTACACACACACAGCTTCCCTCTTCTGCATCAAGAATTAGAAGTCTAGGTGGTCAGACAGATGTTGGTGGCAGGTCCCCTCAGCCATTGACTAGCTTCATGATTTATCAAGAGTCAGGTGCACAACAGATTGAGCCATCCAGGCACCCCCATCTCATTTAATCTTGATAGTAGTAATACCATGTAATTACTATTATTTATTCTCATTTGATGGATATAGAACTGTGGAGGAGGAGACTAAGTCAGTCTCCCAGGGTCCAACTATAATAAGGAGCGGAGTGAGATTTGAACCCAAGCAATCTGGACCCAAACCCATGGTGCCAATGACAATACTAATGACATTTGGAGCTTATTGAACCCAAGGTCATCAAGTCCAATCCCCTCCACATACACCAGGATAGGGCTGTCTGCCTCTCCTCTGGAGTCTCTGCCAAACCCCTCTTCTCCCATCAGGGATTAGGTCTCCAGGCTGCTGGTGGATGTTGATAAAGTCACCCCTCCCTCCTCCTCCCTGGAATGTGGCACTTTTCTCTCTATGATCTCCCACCCAGAATCCCAGATTCTTCCCTCAGACCTCCTACCTTCCTCTTCAACTGGAGCCCATACTTAGCACCCCCTTTCTGGTGCCTGGAGAGTCCTTACCTATGGAAAGGGTAGGTGCCCAAACATCCCCCTGGACTCACTGGGAGATGGTACAAATGGAATATTGCCCTGAGTTCTTATCCACTTCTGCCACCAGCTCCTTTATGCCTTCAGACAAGAAAGTCACAGACTCCAGTAGACTCCAGTAATGAGTGAGCTGGGTAAAAACTTAAAGGCTGCTGCTCCCAGCCCTGGTCTTCTTGATGGTGACCCTTCTTAGCCACCAGGCCAGTGCCATTCTCTCTCCGCCAACATGCAACCCTCTCCAGGGAGATAACACTCGGCTCTCCCCAAAGCTTCCTGTGTGGTCTTCCCCAACACTACCTCTTACCCAAAACTGTAGGATCTGCCTATGGGCAGCTTCTGTTCTCCCCCCACTCCAGATCTGCCCTCTAAGTTGGATTGCACTGATCCTACTTTCCTCTGCCAGGGCCCAGCATCCCCTACAAGGCCACCATCTGCAGAGAGCACAAACTGGAGGCTAGCCTTTCCCCAGCCTGTGGGCCAGCTCCCCTCCATTAGACCCCCAAGAACATCCCCAACGCAGATATTTACAAAGTCTCTTTGCATTTTAAAGGCAAACTTTCCCACCCCTCTCCCAAAAAAGAAAACTTGTCAAAACTTTTAAGGCCCCAGTTTATATTTCAACATAAACCCCTCTGGGCCTACTGCCCAGGATTTAGGACTCACCCACCCCTAAATTCTGAAATCTCTTTTGGGGAGGGTTCTTGCTTTTACCACAGCCCCTCCCTCATTGCATGGGGCAG